GGGTGGGAGTATAGTTTTGTATATGTGCTGCCGAAGTGAGTACAGGGAGTATACTTTTGAATAAGATATGTTCCCACTGAGGGCCCTCCTTGTTTTGCAGGGGGTTATAGCCCAGCACTATCAAGCTATCCACAGCCACTACAGCACAAGTTGGATCCTCAGCCAGGGAGGTGACCCATATGGCACAGCAGGCTCTCCTGTCTTACTCACTGCTCCCCTCAGCAGAGTATTTGGGTCAGTCTGCCTGTTCTGTTCCCCACTCTGTCTCTGGTGAATCCACTTACAGCCTACACTTGTGGCCTGTACTCGAGTTCTTGTATTCATCAATAAATAAATCTTCAAAAAAAAAAAAAAAAGGTATTTTCCATGAAGGAGATAGCATGTTAGCAAATACCTGATAGTAAGTGAGGACTGAAGCGGTGCAGATATTTGAGGGAAAAGCATCCTAGGCAAAGGATGGTGAGTGCAGAGGAGTGGGCTGGAGTAAAATGAGTGAGGGGAGTTGAGATTAATTCAAGGAGGGTGAGATGTGTGTGTGTGTGTGTGTGTGTGTGTGTGTGTGTGTGTGTGTGCTGGAGAACCGGCCAGGATATATAAACCTTTGATAGACTCTGGTTCGTACTCTGAGGGAAGTGGGAGTTATTTTAGTATTTTAAGTAAGGAAGGGAGCTGATGTAATGCACATTTTAACAAGTTCCCTTTGGCCACTCTGTTGAAAGAAAACTGTGTAGGGGTTTAACAGCAAAACAGAGGATACATGCCACAACTTATGCTAATAATCTAGACAAATAAGATAACAGTAACTTGAAGCAGGGGAGTATTTTGGATCTGTTTTGCTGAAGAGCTAGAACTATGAAAATCTGGACTATGAAAAGAAGTCATGGATAATTCCAAACATTTTTCTCTTATATCAATGAGGCCACTTATTCTAGACTAGCAGTGTTTTAATTAAGAGAGTTTCCACTGATCTTTCAGCTCCATCAGTCTTCTGACAGAAAACTTCACAGTGACAGCAGAAATGGTGGTGGGGACCCCCACTCCAGTAGCTACTATTTTGATGAAGGAACCCCACTGCAGGATCCCCACAACCGGGTCTCTCCAACATAGCTTTGCCACAGAGGGAGCAAGTATACTTGGCATATTGGCTGATTTCAATTCTCTTCCCCATTTTCCTGAGGGAACCATCTAAAAGGGCCCTCATATTTACCAACAGATCTGAACTTCTTGGTACATAGCCATGTTGCCACAAACTAGATCCGAGCCCAGAATGCAACTCCAGGGTCTTTGATCTGAACAAGTGGAGGGTGAAGCTGCAACTTAAGGAGATGAGAAGGCTCTGATAGGGTGGTGGACCAGGAATTTTGTTGTGGGACTTACAGCTAAGGGAAACTCACTCAGAGTAGCTGCATGAATATGCTGAGTGTCTGGAATGGACAGAAATGGGGTAGAAATACAAATGTGGGAGTTGTCATCATATAGATGGTATTTAAAACCACCAGGTTAGCTCATCAAAGAAAATGAGTGTATATTGAAAAAAAAAAGATGTCCAAGACCAATCTGGGGGGATTCCAGATTGTGGAATTCAAGACCGTGTGCGAAAGCCAAAAAAAAGAAAGCCAGCCCATTCCGAGTTGCAGGGAGGTAGGAGGAGAATCAACACAAGGGTGATCCCGGAGGCCAGGTGAACATAGATTTCAAGGAGAGAAAGAGCATTTGTGTCAAGTTCCACAATCATATTGAGAAACACCGCACCACGTGAAGGCCACTGCTGACCTTGTCCAGAAAGCCTGCTCAGTGAGCAAGGGAGTGGACGAGCATAGATTGTCCTCTGTTGGTATCTGACCAAGTCCCAAGTGTGCAGGGATGATGACCTTGACTCTCTAGGCAGTTTGATGGGCATGATAAGTGCTTGTAGAATTGATGATACCGCTTTTCTTTTGGGTCTGTTCTACCCAGGCTCCTACTTTTTCTTAGAATCATTGAGTGTGGGAAACTGCGTAATTCCCAATCTGCAGAAGCCAGGTTGTCTGGAATTGCCCAGGGTTATTCTAGTGCAGTTCCACAGAGCCATCGACACCCTAAGCCCTCTAGGGAAAAGGAGTCTTAAAAAAAACAAATTCTGTCCTCCCAAAGTTACTGGGAAACATCTCAAGATGACTTAAAAGAATGTAGTTCATGTCTTCAAGCTACTGGGAGAAATCATATTCTTGAGAATATTAATTTTTTTCCTAATAAATATTTTCTTGGAAACTTTGATTAAATAACAGTGAAACTTTAAGTTGAAAACAGGTGGACCCTGAGGTCCTGTTCCCTGACAGAGGATGACACCCTGGGGGGGGGGGGGAAGGGGACAGCCAATCTGGATTACCTACCTTTTCTTGAGCAGTTTACAGGCCTTTAGCAAACTGAGCCCTTAATCACCACCCTTTAAAAAAAGCACAGTGACCACCCCCAGATTTCTAAAGTAACAATAACAAATTATAGATGACAAAATAAAGGCTTGGAAAGACTGAAGGCTGGCAGGGATTATTTCCCCTAGTGAGGGAGTGAACTCACTAGGGGACACCTGTCCCCTGCACAGAAAGAGGAAGGCTTTTGTGCTACTTCTAGAAATCAGCTTTTCCTGACAGGCAGAGAGGACATCGTGAGGTCTGTGGCCCTGGGAAGCAGTACCCTGAGAACTGGTGTGCAGTTGTGGGTAACGTGGGAGAGGAGGTGGTAAAGAAGGCTCCTGAGGAAAAAGGAAGGAAGCAAAAAGAAATATTTGTCGAGCATCTAAAATGTTTCAAATACAGTCACAAATTATTTTATCCTCAGTCACCTTTAAAGTTATTAATTCCATTTTATAGGTGAGGAAGCTACAGCTTAAAGAGGGGTAAGAACTTTCTCCAAGTCACACAGATGGTAGCAATAAGAAAAACTAGAATTAGAAAGCAGGGTTATATGCTTTTGAAGGCTAAACTTTTTCCATATTCCCAAAAGAACCCACTTGAAACAGCAATGAGCATTTCTTAAGACAAAGGTCTCCTTCCCTGCCATTCTTGTGTGTGAGTGTGTGTGTGTGTGTGTGTGTGTGTGTGTTAGAGGCAGCCTTCCCTGTTATTCAGGGAGTAATTATTCCATCCTCTATCCTAAGTGGCGTGTTTAGGGCCATTGACTTCTCTTTCTTTTCAACCATTTATTCCCCAGCTCTTGTGAGTCCTCTGTTAGGGCAAAAAGGCAGAGTGCTAACTATCCACTTCTATTACTTGGGGGAAGTCTCTTATTGGTGATATGGCTGAAACAACTGGCTAACATGGAGTTTTATATACTTTTGTCTGCTTGATTTGCCTGGAATCCACACTAATTCTGTTAATTGGTCCCACTGTGTGTTACGTAAGAGGGCATACACAGGACACAACCTCCATCTTAAAAACTCAGCTAACATAGCGTGACTTATCAAACTATGGTCTTTTAAGGAGAGTCACAGACTCTAAGTGTTCAAGCCCCTCCGTTGGGCCAGATTCACCCATTCTGGCTCATGAGCCAGAGAGAACTCCCCTCAACACGCTGGAGAGATGTCCAGTCTTTATAGCAAGCTCTGCAGTGATGTGACTTTGTGCCTCACCAGGCATGCTCTCAGGACTGGGACATGCTGGCCATCTCACATATCTCCTACTACACTGAGCCAAAATCAGCCTCCCATTGTGGATTCCAGCTATTTCTGCTCTCTGGAACTATCCAAAACATGTCAAATGCTTTTGAATATGTGAATCCTTAAAATATCTGAAGCCAACACTAATGTTTTACTTCTCTGCTCCTCTCCTACCCAGTAGTTAAAATGGTTAACAGTCACGTTTATTTTATCTTTAAAGCAAGTTAAAGGTATTATATTACCAATGTGATAAAGGCCCTTGTTCTCCTATCCCAGGGCTCACACTCCGCTCTCCACACTCTCAATCTGCTTCTATTTCTTTGGCTCAGGGGGTCCTAGTGCAGAAACAACCCCAGTGGAAGCAGTTACAATGCAGCGATTAATAGACCATGGTAGTCAGACTCGTGTTAAATGCAGTAGTTAAATTTACAAACTGTGTCTATAACTTATGTAACTGTGAGCAGTTTAGCCAATCTTTTTAAGCTCCCCCTCCTCACCTATAAAATGGGAACAATAAGCATATTTACAATGCAAGGTGTAGGGGGTGTTAAAGGAGACCTGCCACTTAAAATAACTTTTCTCTCAGGCTCTATCTCACCGAGGAGAAAGTGAGTAATGGAGCCTAGAAGGGAGGTGAAGAGTTTTATTATTCCCGTTGTAGTTGTCGTAGCTGGTTAATAGCAGAGCTGGAACCAAATCCTAGATTCCTCCCCCTCCAACCAGGTCCCCGTCTCGTCTCGGTCGCCACCACTTTCTTGGTGTCCTCTCACCTCTATGCTGCTTAGAAACACCCCTGAGCCCCGCAGTGTTCAGTGTTCGCTGCAGTGTTCGATACACCAAGAGAGCTTATGTTGGCTTTTTTACACTTAGGAAAGGGGAGGGAGAGAAGGAAAGGGGAGGAAGAGAACAGCAACCTATAAGTTAAGTTAAAGGTAATTTCAGGCGTTGCCCAAATCAGTAGGAATTGTAGTCTGAGCTTTCCTTCCGTCTGCATTCCAATACAGTCACTGCAACGCCCTCGGGCAGGCCAGGCGCCCTGGGGTACCTTGGCAGCGCACCTCTAAAGTGCTCAGGAATTGGTAAAGAAGGAGCGGCACGGGCCAGGCCGGTGGGGGGGGAGGCAGGGAGGGGGGGAGACACCGCCCAGCTGCCAGGCTCCCAAGGGGCGGAGCAGTGGGGGGGTGTGGCCTCACGTAGGTGCCTGTACAGGATTGGGTTTCGCTGAAACTTACCCGTCTCCCGGGAGCCACGCTCAGAGACTCTAGTGCCCGCGGGAGGGTGGCTTTCTCCCCCAAACCGCGAGTTGAAGTTGAGTGGAGTCGGTGGCTGCAATCTCCGCCTGCCTCGCATCGGGACTGCTGGAAGGATGCGAGGCCCGAGCATGGTGTGGTTGCTGTGGGGCGCCGTCCTGTTGGTGGCCTCCACCACCTCTGGCAATCGCACAGTCTCAGGTGAGAAACTTGACCCAGGAGAGCCCCTACCGCTATGGAGCGAGGGTCCCCGGCAGCATGGGCAGGTGTTGGGAACGCGGCAGGTGCGCTAAAGGTGTTTTTTTCCTCGCGGCAGCCGCCTCCGCCACCATCTCCCAGAAGCCCCGTACCCTTTTCTCCCTGCTGGGACAACCCGAAATTCTGAAGTTGGTGGAGGTCAGGGGAGGGGGAAGGGGAAGAAGCAATCACTTCTAAGGGATACCCAGAGGATACAGCCTCCACTCCCCCAGGTTGGTTTATCTGCAAACACTAAGTCATTAAGTTTTTCCGCACATCCCCGGAATTTCCTCCAGACCGGTCCCGCGCGGCCCCTGAAGTTTGCGAGCTCTTAACTCTGGGAGGATTGAAGTGGCTGGGTGGAAGCCCGCAGCTGGGGGACGTTCTATCTTGCTTTTTGCAACCCCTTGGTCTTTGGCGCTCTTTGGAATCAGCCTGCAGCATTTGGCCCTGAGCTCCTCCATCAAGATGGATGGCCAAGGGAGGTGGGCAAGAAACCCCCCTCGCCCCCCCTCCACTTTTCCAGTTCTCCGGGTCACAGAGTCAGCTTCCAGTTTTAGGCCAGTTGGGCGGCACACGGGTTTTAACATGGAACCTCTTGGACCCTGTGTTATATTCCCCCGGGAGACCTTATGGCCCTAGGTTTCCGGGTCCAGTGTTTCCGTGCTACTTGGAGTATACAGTGGCGGCCTCTCAAGTCGGTAACCGCTCCGTGAGCCGCGCGAGCCGCCGGCTCCGGGACAGAACTGGATCTGCCCGGGAGTAGACTCCAGTGCAACTCCTGCCGGTTGTGCATGGCTGCCAGCTTCCAAAGGTCGCTCGTTAGAGGGTGCTCGAACAGGAACCATTGGGGGTGTAATGTCTTAGCCCGAGCAGGCCGCAGGGGACTTAGGTGTAAGCCCGAGATCATACCACTGTGATGTTAAGCAACGCCCAGCTATTTGCGGCAGTCAGAATACCCTTAAAAGGAAGGTTTTAGTTTCCCTGAGAAATTTGCCAGACCTACTGTAAGTGGTAGTTTCTCACTTTACCGCCTTTATAAAGACATTGTAAAAGCTCACATCACAGAATTTGAATTCAGTTGAAAATGTGATTCTTTTCCCTCTGGAATTGGGTAGTATGGTGTGTGCTTGAAAACTGTACTACTGCTGTGCATTTTATTGCTCAGCATCAGAATAAAGGCATTTATATACAGGACGTTTTGAAACTGTAAAGAACACTTCTCTGTTCGCTTTTGTCTTTTAAGTTGGAAACGTAAAATTCAGGAGCAAAACCTCGTTTGTGCACACATTTTAAAAAATGTTAAGTGTGGATGATTCAACATGTTTATGGTTCTGTTCAGATATGTCCTATGGGAAGCTTACCCTGAGTATTGACTTGCTTACAAAGTGAGGGACTAGGGCTAGGGGAATTTGGAATACACGGTGAACTTGAATTAAATACTTAGCCAGAATTATTTAACACTGCATACCGTATCCCTCCCCCATCCTCCCCATATTTTAATTCCATTGCAGGATAACGTTCCTAAAGAGTTAAGTAACAATGAGACTAGTTAGATGGAGCTTTCCCTCCAATTTGAAATTAAATTGATTCTGTGTAAGAATAGAGCACCACCAGAATTTACAGATGAATGTTGATTTATTGGAGTTCAAGATGGTCAGCACCCTACTTTCTTTGCCTTTCATAACAGTTTAATAATTATTTGTGTAAATGTGTCTAATCTCTCCACACTGAATCCAAAACTCCTGTTTATCACCAACTTCATGGTCTAGTACAGTCCTATCACCTAAAGGGCCTTGTAAATCGCCAGTGAAGAATGAAGGGACTTGCCCAGTGTGACCTGGAGGAGAGCAGGCAGGTGGCAGTTCAATTTAAAGTCACATTTGCTTAGCACTTTTTCAGCCTAGAGGTCCTTGTCCACTGTGGTGCAGTTTTTTTGGTTTTTCTTTTAGAAAGGGAAACTGTTCTTTGTGCAATTGCTTTTTAATTGTACAAATAATAGGTGTACACTGAGGAAAAACAAGCAAGTAAAAATGGGGGAAAATTTAAATCACCCTCAGTTACCAAAGAAACCACTGCTAACGTCTTGGACTACATCCTTTCCCATGCTTTCATAATGCGTGTATAAAGTCTATTCATAAATGTAGTAAGTTGTATTGTCCCTGTACAAATAAACATCACATCAACCAGTAAATACCACCAGTCATTTTTTAATGACTGTAAAATATGTTATAGGGTATATCATAAATTTTACATGGGGTCCTCTGGATAAACTCATGGGCTATTTGCAATGTTTTGTAACAAGAAAGGACCCTGTAATGAACATGAAGATGGGATTTTAAATTTGTATTTGATCCCCTTTCTTGCCTTATAGTTACTAATTAACCTCGATAGGGAATGTCTTAGTGAAGTCTGTGTTTGACTTTCTTATGGCTTTATTAGCTGGGCAAGTGTTGAGAGGAAAAAAATTCATCCAGAAAGAACCATGAAAATTTACTAAAGTGTGCCTAGAGGGGGTTACCTGGTATTTGAAACCTTATTTTTCAGTCTGTGTTCCCAAAGATGTGTATCTGCTTTGGGGAGGAGCAAAAGAAGATTGATATGAGGCGATAGTATTGCGGAGGATATGCGAGTGTATGTACTCTGCTTAATAAGGGTCGTTCTTATTTTGTGAAGCCTTTCTTTTCCCCACTATGGTTATACGTATTGGAACTGGGTTACCATATGGAATATATTTCCATTTTTAAAATTTGTCACTAATCCTGTATAATTTTGGGAGTATGACTTCACAACTCCATGTGTATATTTGCTTCTCTCTATGTTTCTTATTGTGGGTTATTTTCAAGTATCTGAAGCACATTGTCATCTATATGAGTATTTAACTTAAAAAGAAATACTCATGATTTAAAAAATAAATTATAAGAAATTGGTATAAGATAACAGGCAGGTCTATCCTGAGTATATCAGTTTCCTGTAGCTGCCATAACAAATTGCCACAGATGATGCTTAATGGGATGGATATTTACTCTCCGGCTGTTCTGGGATCCAGTCTCTGAAATCAAGGTTTTGGCACCTCTGAAGCTCTGAGGGAGAATCCATACTTTGCACTGCTTCTAGCTTCTGATGACTGTCAGCATTCCTTGGTGTTTTTTGGCTTGTTTTTCTACCTTACTCTAATCTCTGTCTCCATTTTCACACTGCTTTTCTTTGGTCTTTTCTCTTATGTCTCTCAAATCTCACCTTTTTTTCCCCCCGTACAAGTACACTTGTCAGTGACTTGAGGCCCCATCTAGATAATTCAGGATGGTTTTCTCATTTCAAGATCCTTCATTATATCCAAAAACACCCTTTTTTCTAAATAAGATAATGATCACATATTCTAGGGAATAGGATGGATATAGATACCTGCTTGGGGTCTACCTTTCAAGCTACTATACCAAGTAAAAAGTCAAGTATTTGCTTCTATAATCCTTTTTGCAAGCTAACCACTATTAGTCCTTATCAGGGAAGCCTTAAGAGATGTGAGTAATCTTGAGTGCAAGTTGGAAGAAATTGTGATGACTCATTATAAAAATTACCAGGTAAACTCATGAGTAAGTTTAATGTCCTTCCTTATATAATATGGTATAGTTTGCCCAGTTTGCCCTGGCATGGTGAAGGCCTGCTGTTCCATGAAATTTAAAAAAAAAAAAAAAAAAGACACTTTGGTATCCTTAAATGGTCCACTTTCCTTGTTGGTCATAAACACTTGGTCGGGAAAGAATATAGGCTGAATATGCTATTCTTTTACTTGTGTTTTTTAAAGCTTAATACATCATATGGGATTGTGGGTACATTTTGATACATGCTGTTCTATGCCACGTGACTGTTTGTGTCAGGACACAAATTTGTCTTTGGTATGCCCCTCTGTCAAGTGACCTTGAGGCTGAAAGGTGTGGAACCCTCATGCTCTTGGAAATCCCCCTGTGTCAGAATTTAGGAAAGGGAATTACAATAACAGGTTGGATCTTGTCTTGCTTCCAGGGTGAGATAGATGCCATTATAAGAGTAGTTAGGAACTAATGAGTATGGGCAGTTAGAAAAATAAATTGAAATATTGTCAAGGTTTGTTTTTTTTTTTTTGGAGATTCACAGAAATCACTTATACTTTGCACATACCCCAAAACCCTCTACTTAAAAAAAAAAAATGAAACAAAACCAGACAGTAGAAAACCCAGTGATCTCATCAAGCCAGAGAAAGCCCTGTAAGTATTCTGTGTATCCCTCCAGTCTGTTAAGGTGCTTTTATTTGAACAAACCATCTTTACTCCTGAAACACTGATTTGTATAATGACTATTGTCTGCCTTGACTTTCTTGCATAGGAACCACTAGATCTAAAGGAAGAAGTCTCGTGGGTAAATCTAACTTCTCTGGGAAAGGAAGTACAGTGAAACCAGGCCTTATGGTGGATGAGTTTTCTACCTTGGTCCTCACTGGAAAACTGACTACTGTCTTTCTCCCAATTATCTACACAATTGTATTTGTGATCGGTTTGCCCAGTAATGGGATGGCCCTGTGGGTCTTTCTTTTCCGATCAAAGAAGAAGCATCCTGCTGTGATTTACATGGCCAATCTGGCCTTGGCCGACCTTCTCTCTGTCATCTGGTTTCCTCTGAAGATCGCCTACCACATAAATGGCAACAACTGGACTTATGGGGAAAGTCTTTGCAAGGTACTCATTGGCTTTTTCTATGGCAACATGTACTGTTCCATTCTCTTTATGACCTGCCTGAGTGTACAGAGGTACTGGGTCATCATGAATCCCATGGTGCACCCCAGGAAGAAGGCAAACATTGCCATTGGTATCTCCCTGGGAATATGGCTGCTGATTCTGCTGGTAACCATCCCCTTGTATGTCGTGAAGCAGACCAGCTACATTCCAACTCTGAACATCACTACCTGTCACGATGTTTTGCCTGAGGAGGTGTTGGTGGGAGACATGTTCAACTATTTCCTCTCCCTGGCCATTGGAGTCTTTCTGTTCCCAGCAATCCTTACAGCCTCTACCTATGTGCTGATGATCAGAACCCTCCGGTCTTCTGCCATGGATGAAAACTCAGAAAAAAAGAGACACAGAGCAGTTAAGCTCATTATCACTGTCCTGGCTATGTACCTGATCTGCTTCACACCTAGTAACCTTCTGCTCGTGGTGCATTATTTCCTAATTAAAAGCCGGGGCCAGAGCCACATCTACGCCGCGTACATCGTCGCCCTCTGCCTCTCCACTCTCAACAGCTGCATTGATCCCTTCGTCTATTACTTTGTTTCACAAGATTTCAGGGATCATGCAAAGAATGCTCTTCTCTGTCGAAGTGTCCGGACTGTAAAGCAGATGCAAGTATCCATTTCATCAAAGAAATTTTCTAGGAAATCCAGCTCATACTCTTCAAGTTCAACCAGTGTTAAAACAACCTACTGAATTTTCCAGCTTCTCTGTTGGAAGATTCAGAGGAGGACTTGGAGCCCGCTTAATGTTATGGAATGTTTCTGTTGCTTCCTAACCCATCAGGTCTTACCACATACCATTTATATGCAGCATATCTCCAGATTGCTAGAAACTTCTTTGTTTGCATGAGGGGGAACTCCCCCTCCCTCCAATTAACATAGATAACAGTTTCAGAATTGTTCTATGCTGATGTTCTCAGAAACAACTGAGTTTTGGCAGAAGACAGCAAAGATACTGAAACCCATTGACTGGCAAAAGTCATCTTGGTGTGATGACAAAGTTCTTAGCCGAAACTACATTTCTTTTTCATCCAACAGGCTTCAGGGCCCTCAGAAATGATCAGCTGAACTAACTGACTTCACAGATGAGGAAACCAAAGTGTGGAAGGGGCTCCTCAGCCAGGCTTCCAATCAGTGGCAGCTAGTTGGGACTGAGCAGTGGATCCTGACTGTTCATTGGGCTTCTCTTATCTCCTCATTGAACTGATGTGGATCTTGTTTTAAAAAGGCAGTTTCATCGGATTCTCCACTGAGAGCTCAGAGTCTGGGGCTGGAACCCAGAAACTTGAGTTTTAACAAGCTCATACAATAAGGTTTGGGAACCATTGTCTTGAGGGCTTCCATTTGTCAAGATGTCATAGGTAGTTCTGGAAAAGAGAAGTTATACCAGAATGCTTCGTGTCTCTCATGTTCATCTTATAGTGAAATCTGTTGACATTTGGAGACTTTTAGTCATTTCTTTATTAATCCTTTGAGCTTTTGTATGTGTCATTATTTCATGGAAATTCAATGAGGATTTTAAACACTGGAAATACAACTTTTGTTTGACTTTTTTTACTGATCTCAGCACACTCTTCAGTCTGAGTAATATAGTGTTTTACGACAAAGGATGGCATTTACCACTTAGTATTTTTTCACAATTTTGTTGAACTATTTATTATCAGTTTTGTTCACTTGTTACCATGTATGAAATTACAGAGCCTTCACTGGGTTTGAACCACACCTGTTTTGAAAAGAACTCTAAAGTACTGTGGATTTCAGAAGCCCTGCTCTCCAAACCAACTTTATATAACTGGCATTTCAAAATTGTAATTTTATTGTATGACTTACAAATAACATGTTGCTTTTTTACAACTTATTTCTGTGTCTTGTCTTTTGTTTGACAAAGGGGGTGGGAGAAGGGAAAAAACAGCATTCTTTTGAAAATAAATGATGTAAGGTACACCCTATTTTTTACAGAAATGGGGCTATAGTGTACATTTTACTCTGACAATTCCTTTTCATGTAACCACATGTGAAAAACATGTAATCATTGTGAGGATAATCAAATTCTACATATGCATCTATAAGCTCACCTCTATTTTTTTGTTTTTAAGATTTATTTATTTATGCATATGGAACTGGGGTACAAGCCAGAGGTGCAGGGGCAGTGAGAGGATTCACCAGGGACAGAGTGGGGAGCAGAACAGTCTGGCTGAGGAAGTGCATTGCTGAAGGGAGCAGTGGGCAGGTCAGGAGAGGTCTGTCACACCATGTGAATCATCTTCTCACTTCTGGAATGGGCGGGAATTGAACTCATGCTAAAGTGGCTTTAGCCTTGGTGCTGTGCCACCAGGGAGGGCCTCACCTCCATTTTTAAGGGTTACACATTATTTACAATTTTGCATATGTTGTGATCTATTTAGTCATTTCCCTACCAGTAGCTCCTGAAGTTTCCTTCCTTTTTGACCTAAAACAGTGCTGCATTGAACATCTGTGTGCAGACATCTTGGGGATTATTTTTGTGGGACAAATTCCTGGAATTTGAATGGCCAGTCAAAAGCTAGGTGCCGCTTTAAAATGTTGGTAACTCTTGCCAAGTTGTCTTCAGTAATTTACAACTCTACCAAAATAGGATGTGTGTCCTCTCCTGACATGCTCACTTATACTTGATCACCAGACTTTTTTACCAATCTGCTTGAAAACAATCGTTTTAATTTGAACAGAAGATGATAAACTAGTGACTCAGAGTGCAGGCTTTGCATGGCCAGATGGGTCTGAATTCCATCTCCTTCATGTCTGTTTTATTACCTTAGGGTTGGCAAAGTAGTTAATTTATCATAAGGGGATAATGGAGTCTTCTGGGTAGAGTATGGTGATGGAGTGTTTGGCATTTTGTTACACTCATAGCATTATGGATGTGGCATTATTGCTTATTCCTTGACTGCTGATCTGATCTTTGTCATCCATCTCCTTCTCAGTGCTGGTTTATACCCTGCCCTCCTTGCTAGCATTAAGTCTCAACGCTTGTGGGTTGTCCTCTTAAATAGGCTTGTGGGTTGTCCTCTTTAAACTGAGAAAGCATAAGATGGTAGATACGGGATTAAAGGAAGCAGAAACAAATGGCTCACAGTTGTGTAATGAGCAAAATTAATGTTCTACACATGTGACTGTTTCTTTTCTCAACATCATTTTATTTGCAGTATATCAAACTAACAAGTGGGTGCTGACCTATGACAAGTGAAAACCAGCCAACCTGCTTTTCAAAGTCAGTGAGTTAGGAGCACACAAGTCCACAACAGCCTCTTTTAAAAAACAAACACAAAAAACATCCGCACCACTGGACTATGGTGATGGGACACAGGTGATTTGGTGATGGGAAGCCCACAGGGATCACAACTGAGATGGAAAAAGGCACAAAATTATGTAAAAATGAAATATTATTAAAAGAACAACAGGCAGCCGTGATCCTCCCTGCTGGCACAACGGGTTAAAGCACAGCACTATGCATCTATCACAGCCACTTCAGCACGAGCTTGATCCCTGGCCAGGGAGGTGACCCACATGGCACAGCAGACCTCTCCTGACCCACCTGCTGCTCCCCTCAACAGTGTACTTCGTCGATCTGCCTGTTCTTCTCCCCACTTTATCTGGTGAAACCTCTCACTCTCGCAACTCTGACCTGTACGCCAGGTCTGTATGCATAAATACATAAATTTAAAAAAAAAATCTGCACCAGCAAGCTATCAACAATCTTAGTGCATTAATGAGCCTAATATCCTCAAACTTTGTCATACATAGTCCACAAACCAAAGCCTAAGCAGGTGATGGTGCTGGTTCCATCCCATCTTTTACTTCAAACTAGTAAGTTCAGGTGAATGCAGCGTGGGGACTTACTGTGCTCAAGTTCTGGGGGCTGTGTCCAACGGACAGAAGCGGAGGACTTCCAGGCAGTCGCCTGCCTTAAGTGTCTTTGTCTCAACAAAGGGATTCATGTAGAGATGAGTGTGTGGTGTGCTGGTGTGCTTGGTGTCCAGCTGCCACTTTTATACTTTTTTTTTTAAAGATTTATTTATGTGGGCCCTCCCTGGTGGCGCAACAGGCTAGTACTCAGCAGCCTCAGTCCCCTCAGTGAACGCAATCCCCCACCCTGGAGGTGACCCACATGGCACGGCAGACCCCTCCTGACGCACCCGCTGCTCCCCTCAACAGTGTATCTCCTCAATCTGTTCTGCTCCCTACTCTTGATGAAGCCTCTCGCCACCCCTGCATCTCTGGCCTGTACCCCAGTTCTGTATAAATAAATAAATAAATCTTGTAAGAAAAAGATTTATGAATAAATAAATAAATGTTAAAAAAAGATTTATGTATAAATAATGTTTTAAAAAGATTTATGTATAAGTAAATAAATCTTAAAAAAAAAAAGATTTGTACATACAGAACAGGAGTACAGGCCAGAGGTGCAGGGGCAAAGTTAATTTGGTTTAATCCCCAAAGTGATTCCATTTTATGTTTGACATAACTAGTTCATTCATAGCTTATTAAATAGTCTAACTGCTTGAACAGTAAAACACCTAGGGCCCTCACAGGTGGTCTACTAGCTGATTCAATGGGAAATTTTTTCTTTGGCATCTGTCATTTCTTTATTAGTCATTTTTAAATGCATACTGATGGGTCAAACTGAACAAAAATGTATAAAATGCTACCCAACCCCATTCCCCCAAAAGGAGTTAATTTTTATAATTTGCTTATAGACTATATATGTATGTAAATAAGACATATATTTATTGTGTACATATGAACTAATTTATATATTTTATGGCTCATACAATATAGTATGGTAAAATCAGTCTGTATTATATATAAATTTGTATATTATAAAGATATATAAATACACACACACACACACAGATATAATATAATTAGTTAATTTGGATTTACCTATAACTTTTAGTGACCTGGTAGTATTTCATGTATGACTATAACAACAGTGCTTTTGTACACTGGAGATAATTTTTATTTATTTACTTAATTCCATTGTGTATGTGTACCACATCTTTTTAATCCAGTCATCCATTTTTGGGCATTTGGGCTGTTTCCATGTCTTTCCAATTGTGAATAAAGCAGCAATAAACATGGGGGTGCAGGTATCTTTTTGAATTAGTGTTTTGGGGGATAGATACCTAGGAGTGGGATTGCTGGGTCATAGGGAAGCTCCATGTTTAGCAGTTTGAGAAAACTCCAAACAGTTTTCCATAGTAGTTGTACTAGTTTGCATTCCCACCAGCAGTGCAGGAGAGTTCCTTTTTCCACTGGAGATAATTTTAAAGACTCATTTTCACCAAGTCTTTAATTTAAAAAGTGTAAAAGAAATTATTTGGAAAATAGACTTACAAGAAATTGCATTTGTTGAAGGAAAGCTTTTAAAATTATTTCTTATTTGCCTTTGAGCTGTGGCTGAAAAGCTCTTAGTGCACAGGAACCAATAAACCAATTTAGAGGTTGAGGAACCTTCACCCACAGAAGAAAGGTCGCCTTGATGTGGTGTCTTGTGCTTGTGTTAGCCTCTTATCACGGGCTGATGTTTTTCTAACCTAACTGAAAATTTGAATATTTTGCACTCCACTGCCTCCATTTACTAAGAGTGTGATTGATTTGAAAGTGAATGCAGGTTTGTACCCCACAGCTGGACTGACTGGGCTGAGCTGTTTCAGGGTAT